ATTAGGGAGAGCGGGGGCCCGCGACCCCCGTCCGTCCGCGTGTCTGTCTGTCTGTCCGTCTGTCTGGGCGTGCACCCGTCCCAACTGACACATCACACACTCTTTCTAGAGCGCGCGAGAATTTGCGACATTTCGCCCTCTTTCTGATGTTGCAGCCAGGCAGGGGGCGTGTCTCTACCAATAAAGTCCCGACTCGCTCGTGTCGAACCGAACAGAAACAGGTCGGGGAAGACCATCCATACACCGGCTGGCTGTGGCTGCCAGCCTGTGGCCGATGGATAACAAATCACCATCCGGATTGTTGGCAGTTTGTTGTCAGGGGGTAGAAGACACACACACACACACACACACACACACACACACACACACACACACACACACACTCACACAGAGAGACTCGCCCACAGAGCGCCGGAGGGAGGTCGCGAGGGACGCCGCGGCCGCGCCGCCAGGAGGGGTGTGTTTTCCGAAAGAGAGAGAGAGCATCCTCCTAATTTCCCCGAGTACCTTCCTCTCCTGGCTGCTGCTCGGCCCGGGCCCCACTTTGCTCGCGGTGTGGCCGGGACGACATCTTGTCGTCTGTCTGGTTCGCTCTTTCTCGCCCCCGGCGGCGGCGGCGCCCTCGCAGCAGGTCCGCAACCAACCATATAATTGGACTCCCAGCAGCTCCGTCCGTCCCTCGCCCTCTCTGTTCCGACGTCAGCCCCTCTCCGGTGCGCTTTGTTCGTTGCCTACTCGCGGGGCTGTGACGCACTCGGACCCCTGACCTCCTCACGAGAGCGTAGAGCTTAGCGTACGCGAAAGGCGGAGTAGGGGTACGCACCCTAACCTCATCTAACGCATATTGTTTGGTTTTGACGGGTGTTGAAAGGCATTTTCTGGAAATGTCATACACTCAAACTATGTTAGGTGTCATCCGAAATATGTGCCAATGTAAGGTTAGGGCGCTTCCCTCCCACTATCGGAGCCCGAGTAAATATAGCGTTCCAGGCCGACAAAAAGACTTACCTACTTCCAAGTTGCGGGTGGCGGATGGCGGACTGTGAACGAAGCTTTCCGTGCGAGAACGGGGCAGCGAACACCAACACACCAGAGGTCCGTTGGCCCAAGGTTTCGAAGTGAAGTAAAGTGATGCTCGAAACTGCCGCGGGAGCTTCGCAGGCTTCGCACCTGCCCCCGCCGCCGCGTCCCCGCGCAGGGTGGCAACGGCCTGCCCCCCC